TTTTTTGAGACACAGTCCTGCTCTGTCACCAAGCTGGAGTGCAGTGGCACGATCTCGGCTCACTGCAACCTTTGCTGCCCAGGTTCAAGCCATTCCCATGCCGTAGCCTCCTGAGTAGTTGTGAGTAGCTGAGACTACAGGCATATGTCGCCACACCTGGCTAATTTTTTGTATTTTAATAGAGACGGAATTTCACTGTTGGCCAGGATGGTCTCAATCTCCTGATCTCATGATCCACCCACCTTGGCTTCCCAAAGTGCTGGGATTACAGACATGAGCCACTGCACCCAGTCCCCGATAGACATTTTAATTGGCAGAGAAATCTGCCAGAGAGAAGGCAGAGGCAGAGCTTGAGCCTGCACGGAGCCCAGATTTTACATGTACATGTGGCAACTCCAGCAAAATGTGACCCTAGAGCCCATGCCCCCAGCCTCTCCATCTTGTTCTGCTGGGCTGGGATACAGCAGGGCTGTCTTACCCACAAGACTGGGGCCAATCTGATCTGCATGCTCCGCTGTCTCTGGACGCTCTCAAGGCTCCCACCTGGCTGCTTCCATAAGAGCATGCACACAACACAGCTTCCACTGCCCACCCTGAGTGCTTTGCCAGTAGCCTGAAAGCCCTACAGCTACCCCAGTGCCAACAGTGCTTGACCCCACGGGGCTAAAGGACAAAACCACGGGACCAATCCCAGCCACCCAGGGTGCAGGCACACAGCTGAAGAATATCAAGCTGAGATCTGTGACCAGGGCTTGAACAGGAAAGGAACACCCAATCTCAGAACACTGAGAAGAGTGAGATGCAGATTTTCATTCTGGCAAAGGAGATGGGTTTGCCTCCCTGCACAGGGCTGGTCTGGGAAGGGTGTGGCCTTTCTGTTAGCCACAGCCTCTGCCTTAAGGAGCTCCATGGCCTGAAACACCTGACAGCCCAGCAATCTGGGTGCAGGAGGCTTGAGACTAAATGAGCTGATCAGGTCAGCTACAGGGAAGCCACCAGAAGGAGACCTAGTCAAGGGAGCACAAGCTGGGCAGTCCCCTTAACGATCTGCTGGGCAAAAATACCCAAGCTGTGGGCACTACACCAGCTGCATATCCAAAACAACTCTACCATGCCCAGGGGTCCTCTGCCCTTGACCTTCTTTGTGATATGTCTGGGTGGCAATATACCACCCATAGACATATCACAAAGCACAAAGGACCAGTGGGCCCCTAGGGAGCTGCGAGTCTCCTGATAACCTAACCTTTGGCTTGGGTTTCCCTTAACAGTGGGGGTAGCACAGCCTGTCAGGGACCCCTTGGGCCTAAGAAAATGTAGGCGTGTCAACAGTGATTAGAGGTGGAGGTCCCCCAAGGCCCAGAAATAGACTTGCCAAGGAGGTATATCTCTCACTCCATGTCTCCCCCACCCCAGAGCACTGTAGCAAACAAAAAAAAGCTGAAAAAA